ATTGTCATTATTATTATTATTATCACGACTAGTAAGTTTATTTGACCAGCTACTTTTTGTTGGGGCTTTTTTTTAAGTCTCTTTAATAAAGACAACGTCTCATAGCACGTAAATTCTAACGTTGCTTTACTTTAAAAGAAGGTCGTAATTTTTTTGCACGAAGGCTCAAACCAAAGAGGCGCTCCGTTATCTCAGTTGGTATCACCCCGGCTTTCGGGGTCGGCGGCCCAGGTTCGAATCCTAGAGTGGAGGTTCTTGAACCTGGGTCGTTTTGTGGAGTTTTCAAGGCTCTTAACCCATTCGGCTTGATCCGATCGGAGACAGACATCAAATCCAGAGGTTCCGGCCTCTTAAATAACCTTAAAGTGTTGATAGAGGTGTTAAACATAATATACACTTTTTAAAGCCAAACTCCATTAAGGGGGCTCTCGTGGCCTAGAGTTTAAGGTTCTTGCCTCTCATTCAAAGGTCCCAGGGTTCGAATCCGGGTAGCGACCGAAACATTTTCTTCTCTAAAATTGTCTCCGTTCACCGTCTTTCCTTCTATCTTGCAATATGTTGTCGTCTGCTTTCGTCTCCATTTTCTGCCCCCACCCCCTCACCTCCTTTGCCCCCTCCTCTGGACTCCTGACTCTCCCTGCAGCCTTTCTACTGCTACTCCTTGGCTCATTCTTACTGCTGTCTTTCAGCCACACCCCTAATCTTCTGATAGGAAAGATCTACACCTAGCCTTCTCGAACAAGGGCGAAAAATCTTGGAAGACCCGTGTGCAAGTTGCGCACGTTAAAGATCCCGTAGTGGTCCAAAATCGATAAGAGTAGGCTTCAGCAAAATTTCCTACCAACTGAAAATGCTTGGTGCGTCCCGCGCGCTCATATGACCTTATGTAGTTGCGAGCGTCGTAAAACACTTACTAAAAAAAACCCAAAAAAACTCCATTAATAACTATTTAAATACATAACCAAAAAAAAAGCTTTCTTCACACGTCTTTAAATTACATTTCAGTAACTTCTGACTCTCTATCTATTTTTCAGGAATAACAATCCCTTCCCCATGTTCTTATTACTATGCTTCTCTTGGTCTAAAACTCCAACTGCCTTTTTTTCCATGCCTTGGAGGCTCTATTTTTACATGTATATATCATTATCTACATGTACATCAGTGTATTTCCTTCGTGAGTTGTTTTTTTCCTTCCTTTTTTTTTTTTTTAGTAGCGTTCATTACTCCGCTTATAGATCTAGAGTCTGTCCATAAACTTAATCGCTCCAATAATCGCCCCAAAAGAAGTGGGCACTTGTGGAATACGCAGTCCACAAACCGAAATCTCAGCAATTAGTGTGTATCACGAGGGAGAGAGATACCATCTCTCCTATAATGTTTAGGTTCTAAGATAGCCTCGGTTCTCCGGCAAACCAACTTGTTCAAGGTCAGAAACCTATGTGTCTGACTTTTCATGATTCCAGATTTTTCTTGCGCCTCTTTGCTTCAGCTATAGTTTAGTTTCGTGAACTTTATTGGCATGTGTGGAATTATGGTAGCTCGTTGGCTGTCTAAAAGTGGGTTCCGTCTTGCCGTTTGATAATTTAAAAATACAACCGCAATGTTATACCCAGCGCATTTTACCAATATGATTTCTTTGATTCAGTCCGGGCCAGCTAGATTTTCCTTCATTTGTGCGTGTGTGAGGGGGAGGGGGGGCGCAAAAGCTACCATTTTGAAACAGGACGACCAAGTTGACTCACGACCTTGAAAACAAAATGTTTGATTTGAAGATCGCCCTCAAATTTAGGGGAATTCAGTCGTCCTATTATGCCAAAATGGCACCTGTACAAATTACAAATAGAAATAAGGCAGATAAAGCAACCAAAAGTTGCTAAAACATTTCGTGTGGGTGGTTGGCGGGTATTCTGGTGTAGTTTGCTCCTTCTTTCCTATCAAACATCTTTTTTTCCTTATCTCCCATCCTTTTTTTGTGTTTGTTACTCTTTGTAACACCACTAACCTTCGGCACTTATGACCTCAATGCGTTGCAAGTGCCGTAAAACTCCTACTAAAACTAAATAACATTTCGTTGACAAGTACTATGTATGTACTGGTCTTCAGTTGTCGCAGTCAGGGGCGGGGGGTGGGGGGTTATTTGTTGTTTGTTTGGGGTTTTTTGTAGATAATAAAGCGTGGAAAATAATCTTTTATCTCTTATGGTAGCTGCTAGCTCACTTCAGGGGTTGCTAGCATGTACATGTACATGTACATGTATTATTTACATAAACACCCCCCACTCTACATGTAAAACAAATCTTTATAAATGTGTACCCTCAGAGCAATTCTTTTCTCATGACACTGTCAACTATCTAATGGGTGTACATTATCCTGGAAATTTGATAAACCTGGATTTTTTTTTAAAACAACAACACAATACATGTACAGTGGAGTCTGCTTTAACCGAATATAGTTAATCTAAAAACAGCGGAAAACTGAAAGAAAATGGAACCCCCCTTCCTTCTATTTGAATTCAAGCATCCTCTCTAAACAGAAAATCCTAGAAACCGAAGAATACCCGACGGCCCCGAAGATTTCGATTTTAGCGGACTCCACTGCATGTTTGTACTGGAATGAAAACCCTAGAAACATCTGGGTGTAATTCAACTTTTACATCACGAGGAGCGGCCGCAGGGAGCCAAAAATGTTCCCATTCGTAACCAGCACATTACATGTATTATGTCTGTACCCGAGTGAGCATATCAGGAAATGAAATTACTCCATTAATACTTCAAGTTTAGGTGCAGAATGGAATGACAAAGAGTGCAGACTTTATTTTTTAACACACTGGTTCAGCAAAAGCCAAACGGAGGCGATTGATGAATTAGCCGGCAAAACAAGGACGGGTAGAAAAGAAACATGTCGGTGTCACTTTTCAGCATTCTAAACGTCAAACTGAAACAGGGAGTGGCTGACATAAAAAAAATTCTACACACGTGAGATTTAAGACCGGGTCACCAGGGTACCACGAACAGCTTGTCAGCAATACAAATTACAAACATGAGGAGGAGGCATAGATAGAAACCGAGGCCCCGCAGAGAGAGAGAGAGAGAGAGAGAGAGAGAGAGAGAGAGAGAGAGAGAGAGAGAGAGAGAGCAACCTACTTGGAGAACCTATGGGTAACGGGGAAAGATCGGGGTAATGTAGCTTTTTTAGGAGCATCCGAGCACAGGAATGAATGGAAAACTGTGGTCCCCGATGTCTGTCACAGACAAGTCACTTGATGATGAACATCATCAGAGGTAGACGGGTACCATATTATTATGTTAAAGAACGTTTGCCAGATTCGATAGACAGGTCTCCACAAAGTGGATCGATCAGTGAATTTCTTATCCTATTCGAGGGGGAAAAAAGCCCCAATAACAGTCAGTTGTCCTACCACTACCATCTCTGTCTTCAGGTAGTTGTTATAAAGTTACTGTTATAAAAATAAATTTAAATTCTAAAACTCAGACCAACATAGTCTAGATAACTTTGAAAGTGGGCTGCATCAAGCCTACCTGACAGGACAATCTGGGCTGTGCGAGCTACCCCAGTCCCGGCAGAATGACGCGGATACTTCGATAATATTGTTGTTGTTTTCCTCTTCATGGTAATCGACTTGACTCCGCTTGAGGGATCAGAGAAGCCACGGGGTAAACCAGTACATGTACATCATCTTTGAATTCTTTGCCGTCAAAACCTCTTACATGTACTCCTATTCTGAATTTAAAAGGGATTTGGTTAAGTTAAAAATAAACACTTCAAAATATGTAACAAATTTTTAAATTATGGAAAGTAATAAAAACAAAACAAACAAACAACATTAAAACCATAAGATGCACAGGCGTATCAGTAACTGCATCCCCTTCCTTCGACCTTGGCTAGCAAAAAGTCGGGGGTAACCCACTCAGGGCCAACCTATGGACAAGTTGACACAGCACGTGACAATCACTAACAAACCGCCCTCTCTCTCTCTCCGTCTGTCTGTCTGTCTGTCTGTCTGTCTGTCTCTCTCTCTCTCTCTCTCTCTCTCTCTCTCTCTCTCTCTCTCTCTCTCTCGGGGGACTGGGGGAATCTGAAGCAGTCGAAGACCATTAACATGCAGGTCTGTGTGTTTGTGTTTGTACGTAGGCCTACTTGTTCCAAAGAACAGACCGCTTCCATAATGAAAGGACATCCGGTGTAAAGAACGCATGACCCTGACTGAGGATGGTTGAAAGTTGAAGGCATTTCATTATAGATGAGCAGTCACATCAGTAGAACCGGAATAACTCTTTGATGTAAAAATGCATATTTGTTAATTTGACAGTGTGTAGAATTGGTGATTTCTACGCATTGTCTACTGATTTGGGGGTGGGGGTTAAAAAGGGAGCTTCCTCCATGTGAAAATCCAGTGTTATTTCCTCTGCATGCATCTTGTTCAGTTCAGACAGAAAACACATGTACGTAAGGAAACAGTAGATCTATTAACTTTGGGGAGAGGGACTAGACACAAATCCATCTCTGACCCAAGCTTGTTTCCAGATATCTCAACTTGTGGGATATATTATATTTTAGCAGCTCTGTCGTATTTTACAAATCATTTGTAACTGAGCAAGATTACAAAAGCTGAAGCATCTGGAACCAAAGTTGTAGACAAATGGACGTTAATTCACAGGTCACACTTCTGACCGTTTGAACTTTCTGAGTGCATATATAACCTTTAGGAAAGAAGAGGCGGGAGCTTTCCTGAAAAGGTCATTACACTTTCTGCTTTGTTCCCATTCTATGGGAGTTCATATCTACATTGTTTCAGGTCAGAGCATTTTGTAATCTGGAAAGAGATTGGTGGGGGTGCTTTAACTTTAAAGAGCAGCTACGTGTTATGAAATGAAAATGATATAGTTTTACCAGTGCAATTTCTTTAAAATAGAATGTCTTCCAAATATTTACACTCTTACACTTTCATAGAATAATTGTGGACCTTTCATTGTTCATCAGAAAAATAAGTTTTCTCTTTTTTTTTCTTTCTTTCGTTTTCTTTGGGGGGGGGGGGGGGGGCAGGGGGGTAGTGTTTTACGGCCTCGCAACTGCATGAGGTCATACAAGCGCGCACGACACATTAAACATATTCAGTTTGTTTGGTTGGAAATTTCCAATTTTGCCCGGGTGGCGACCGAAGCCTACTCGATCTAGATCTAGTCGATTTTTTTACGTGAGCAACTTGCACACGGGACCTCCGATATTCTTCGCCCTTATCCAAGAAGGCTATGCGTTAGATCTTACCACCTAAGACAGGGGTGTTGCTGAAAGACTGCAGTAAGAAGCAGCTCAGGAGTAGCAGTAGAAAGGGTGCAGAAGGAGTCAGGGGCCCAAAGGAGGGGGCAAAGGAGGTGAGGGGTGGGGGCAGAAAGTGAAGACGAATACAGACGACTGAGCATTGTTAGAGAGCGGAAAGGATGTGATAGGAAACAATTTTTAGAGAAGAAAATGTTTCCATCACTATCTGGATTTGAACCTGGGCCCTATTGAATGAGAGGCGAACACCGTAGCTGTAACCTCTCCACCACAAGAGTCCCCTGAGTCTGAGCAGTTTTCATAAAAGAAAATTAGTACCCTATGCATTACTGAATATCCGGGACCACTCTGCACTTTGACCATTTTCAAGACTTGTTTTTAAAGATGTCATCTATCTACAAGGCCATCTACAAAAATATCACAGTCAATTTATTGGAATATTATTGTTCATACAATGAACTATGAAAAACTTTCAATTTAATTTAAGAAGATAAGAACTGATTTTAAAAAAAATCAAATTCACCAAACTAAATAATGCATTTTGAAAGAAAAACATTAAAATTGAAAAACTGCTAATTCAAAATTGCAAGTGTCACGTACATGATGTTCTTGGAGAGTTGTTATAAAATACAGATATTTAGTTAATCTGTGCCAATTTCAAAGTCTTAAGTTTATACTTTAATTCAACTACTCCACTTTAGAAAGAAATTACTGTAATCTAGAACCGAGAATAAAGAAATCAGTCCAGTGTAGCCAGACACTAACCTGCAGCCTAATGTTAGTAATAGTAATATAAATTGTGTCAGAGCATGGTGAAACCAGGCGCTTGTCAGTTTTAGGCATATGGGGTTATTGGTATAATCTTAAGGCTTGTGAATTTGTCCTACTCTTCGTTTAAAAAAAAAAAAAAATACTCATTTATCCTAAACGCCCGTGTGCAAGTTGCGCACGTTAAAGATCCCTTGGTGGTCTAAAATCTATAAGAGTAGGCTTCGGCCGCCATCCGGGCAAAATTAAAAATCTCCTACCAATTGAAAATATTAGGTGTGTCCCGCGTGCACATACGACCTTATGCAGTTGCGAGCGGCGTAAAACACTTTACAAAATCAAAAATTTATCCTGAACAGAAAAAACATCAAGCTACTTGCAACTGAAGGTCTGGGTGGTTTCCTGGTGTCAGAGGTAAATTAGCAAGAAAATGCCTGCCAAAGTTCGGTTAATTCCAAAGCTGCAGGGTTTTTGGAAACTCCAAATTTACACTTTTTTTGTGCATTTGATCAATATTTTTCAGTAAAATCCACACAGAAATGTGTTTTTAAATGGACATAAAAGACATTGGGCAAAAAAAAAAAAATAAATGATGAAAATAACCCAAACGGAGAAAAATGGTTGTTTCCTCATTTTCATTATTTTGACGAGCGCCTGATTTCACTATGATGCTACAAAATTAAATCTCCTTAAATAAAGAACAAACACAAACTAAACGTTTCACCATTCTCCCAATAAATTAGGGCTTTATGACTGTTGATATGTGTACATTGTTCGTGTTTCGTACCATTTCCGATGAATGTTTTTGTAACCACTGAGTTCAGCACGAGATTAAAGGACTGGTGAGCCAGTGGGCCATTCCCTACTCAGCCGGCAAGCGTGCAAGTCGAGTCTGTTCTTCTTTGTGTACATGTTGAACCAAACGGCATACACGTTTACAAACAATGACAACGTACCAAAAGCCATACAAAGAGTACATTTACAAGGCACCAACATTTTATTTAAGAAAGTCTCACATTTCATTGCAAGAATTCCACAACGTGTTCCAAAAAGGGAAGATCATAAACGACATCTGTAAATTTCACAAGTCGAACAAATGTCTTTTTATTGCACATGTAACAGAAACGATTATCTTCATTTATAAATATGTGTAAACAGTCATGAATGAAAACATACAATCTCTCTCTCTCTCTTTCTTTCTTTTTCTCTCTTTCTTTCTTTTTCTCTCTCTCTCTCTCTGTGTGTGTGTGTGTGTGTCTGTGGGTGTGTGTGTCTGTGTGTGTGTGTGTGTGTGCGTGTGTATGAGTGCTTACTGCAAGTGTGTGTGAGAGATAGAAAAAGATTCCTCATTAGTGTTTATTTCTATCAAAATGTGTGTGTGTACATCTCCATTCATGAGAGCATGTGGATGTCTATGCATATATAAGTCCGGTGGAGGTTGGCTGGGGGTTGTCTATTGCTGTTTAAAAATGGTTGCATATGACTAATTGAATATATATATGCACTGTGCTGGCATGAATGTGAATGATTTTACAACATTATACTAATTTAACTACATAAATGCTCACCGCACACAATCGTATCTTCGGGTGTGTTTGCTTGTGCAAGAACGCACATGTTGCATACAAATTAAATAGACAGGGGAGACAATGAACGTATAAAAGTAAAAGAGATCTGCAAAGAAAGTTATCTTCTCTACATTCTGGAAAGGAACCAACTGTGTGTAAGTCTGAAATTTTCATGGATTCATTTGTATGCAGAGCTAAGCAAGGAAAACAGTGGCACACTTAACCCATTCAGTATCAATCGGCCAAGTAGCAGCTGCCCGAATTCTTATCACAAGAAGGATATAATCGTAGAGAAACTAGATCTAAATCTAAATTATTTTTCCTTTTTTTTTCACAGCAAGCCCAGTGGAGTGAGCAGCTTCACAATATAGGTGTGGATGAGTTCACAGAGATGACAGGCCTACTAGAAGACCTATTGGGAGAACTGCAGCATGCCTCTACAAATGAATTCTTCCTCAAATTCATACCTGAAACCTATTTTAAGGAACTTGCACTTCAAACAAATGCAGCAGCAAGCAACCTGCCCTAAGACTGGAAGGGGCAACACCCGACGACATGAAACGTTACTTCTTCATCAACATCATGTTTGGGATCCACCAGCTTTCTGACTAAAGGACTACTGGTCCACTGACAATCTTCTGGTGGTTCCTTGTGTAGCGGCAATAATGTCTCAGAGACGTTTTGAACTACTTTCTTGGTTCTTCCATTTGAATGACAATGTGGGGCAAGTAGCAAAGGATGATCCAAACTACGACCCCATCTTCAAATTAAGACCCCTCTACAATGTCGTCAGGCAAAAGTCAATGCACAACTACTTGCCACAAAGAGAATTGCGTTTGAGGAGGCTATTGTGGCCTTTACTGGAAGGCTCTCCTTCAAACAATATATATAAAAAATAAACTGTCCCCCTGGGGAATCGAGATGTGGCGTGCGGCAGAGAGCAAAACGGGCTATCTGCTGGACTTCAAAGTGTACACCGGGAAGTCAAACAATGCGTCTGTGAATGGACTGGGTATGATGAAATCATGGCACTTGGTGAAAGGTTCTTGGACAGACATCATAATTTTTATTTTGACAATTTTTTCGCGTCGGTCCCTCTGGCGAAAGACCTTCTTCAGCGGGGGACATGCTCATGTGCGACGATCCGCACTATCAGGAAAAGGTTTCCAAATGACACTGTGTGGAAGAGAAAGGGGGGTCACCCAGATGCACCAGATCAGCAATCTGGTAGCAACCTTTTGGTATGATAAACGTCCAGTGAGTGTCTTGTCAACAAATACTAATCCCACAATGACCACAGTCAGTCGCCGTGCAGCAGGTGAGTTCACTGAGAAGGAGATCCCAACCCCAGTTGACACCTACAACAGGAATATGGGAGGAGTCAGCATTCATGACCACTACAGGGCTTATTACCCTGTTGGCCTAAGGAGCAGGAAATGGTGGAGGTGTCTTGTGTGGTTCCTTCTTCAAGTGGCAATCATAAATGCTTATTAACTGTACAGTACGGTGTACAAATGGTCCGCAACCACAGAAAGAAAGTTAACCCCCAAACAGTTTCGGCTTGTGTGCTCAGGGGGCTCAGAGAAGTTGGGTCGAGTCGCTCGAAAGCGGCAGCAGAGACACCGGAAGACAGGAGGGGGTGAACGTTTTCATAGTTCAGTGAGGCTTCGGGGACTGAAGAAGATGTGTTTTCAGTGCTGACAAGAAAAAAAAGCGCACGCCATCTAGGAGGGCAGTTGACACTGTTTATGGCTGTTCAAAGTGTCATATTCATCTTTGTGAAGGGACATACTATGCCAAGTTTCACGACAATATTTGAAGGACACACAGTGAGTTCAAACCCCATTCTTAAAATTACGAAGTTATGTCCATTATTGTGGTACGGAGGATGATCTTCTAGCCGAGGAAGCTGGTACTGAATGGGTTAAGTAGTGACTGGCGAGCATAAAGGAAAAGGGGACAAAAGGAGTTACAGAAACAGGATTGGAAAAGAGGAGGAAAGATGGAGGGAGAAAGACATGATAAACTCCTCTGTCAGCTGTTGGATGCTCCACTTTTGGATGGCTTCACATTTGATACAGAACCTGTCAGGAAAGAAAAAAATTGAAAAATAGTACATGGAGCAGACACAAATGTTCAACTGATTCTACTGAACCAACCACAAGCGTATAAGAAGACTACGCACAGAACATGTCATGTACAATAACACATACAGAAGAAGCTGCTTATGAAACACCAGTAGACATGAAGACTTGATTAATACTATGTACACATAGATAAGTTTGACGAAAAGCTTTAGGCTTACACAAGGGCCTCGTAATCTAGTGAGTAAGACACCAAACTCACAGTCATAAAACCAATAGATTATGTTGGACTTCCCATTCATAGCAAAGGCACTTACTCAATCCACAAGTTTATGCAACAACAAATTGGTGCTTGCCTTTTTTCTCTTTTAAAGGACAAGGACAATACTAAAACTGAAAAGAAGTAGAAGGAGCAGATCACAGAAGAGTGCCCAACATCCAACCATACTCCAGGGCAACTGAGATGGTAAAACGAAATGAACTAGCCAAGGGAGTTCTGATGCAGCCAAGAGAGAGTTCTTATAGGAGCACACGAGATGGCAAAATACTTTAAAATCAAACACTGTACGGAGTTCAATCAGCCACTGGCTAAAAGACAAAAACGTGCTCTTGCTACACACAGAAACTATTTTCCTTCAGACTACTCAACAATGAACATGCAAATGAGTCTGATTCAAAAGGCATGCCTAGATGAGTAATATCATCGACACATTACATTAAGTAAGGCAGACCAAGTAACATCAATGTTGTTTAAAAGGGGAGTCGAACAGAATTGCGCTGACACAACAACTTTCATTTTGAGTCGGGAAAGTGCAAGGTGGTCAATTTTGTATTAAAAAATCATTCTCCCCCCCCCCCTCCCAAAAAAAACCTGTCACATTTGAGAAGCATTTAACCTTTCATTCTTTATAACAAGACATATTTATCATAGACTGCACTTCATATTAGAATACAAACACATTTTTCACTAGCTATACCGAGCAACCTATAAACTTACATTCAGTGGCATGCTTTTGTAGATATGATCACTACTTAACATAAGTACACATAGCTGCCAACTTTTCAAAACGAAAAACAGATTTTACCCATTTCGAGGGTCAAGATGGTGGGCAGTGGCCAAATAGCCCTCCCCAATACCTTTCACAAACACTGTTCTGCATTCAATCAATTCAAACTTCACTTGACTTATGGGCTACATTCTCACTATCATACATAGAAAAATCTGGAGTTAAAAATTAATAAATTTATTAAAGCATCAGCCTCCATGAGGAGCAATACTGGAAAACAGAGAACAGGTATTTCTCATAGACCCTGTAGAGAAAACATTAAAACATTATTTTATTATTAAATACATTTTTCAGTACTGGTTGGCAGCTATGAGTACATATGGACACACAAGCATGTTAAATTTGAACACATATTGCTTACCATGACTCGTTCTTCCACACAAAGACAAAGGTCCCAAAGTTCATTATCTCCCAGAAGATAATTTTAAAAATTCAACAAAGACCTACAAGACATACCACTGGGTTTGACAGGAGATGTTCGGACTCTGTCTCTTGCCTCTATAGTGTTCAGCAGACTATCAATGGCGGAGACATCCTCTCCAAACACTGACTGACTCCACACCTCGAGTTCATCTACAGACACAAAAACACAGGTCATGTTTTCATGTTCTCCAAAAATACCTGCTCTTTACAGAAAATAGAATTACACAACTGCTTGATACTCAATGAGCTGTTTATTAGCAACATCAATGCTCCAAAAGGTGAAGAACTGCAAGCTGCTAGACCAAGAAAATATTAAAAAGAAGTTTACACATTTTATTAGTGAGCACTAGTGAGCAGTGCGGTTTTTGGTACACTATTGGAAGAGCTTTTTTTTTTTGGCAGGGGTAGGGGGAAAGGGTGGGGGGGGGGGGGGGTTGTTTCCTCTATTAGATGAAATGCACTAAAGGCCACCTAAGGACTGTACATGAAGCTTTTATTACTGCACAACACAAACTCACATATTACCAGGTACTTCTAAACACACAAACCCAGTCGTAGACTGAAGCTTATAGAACACCTGATAAAGGGAAACTTACAAAGATTCCCCAAGAAAAGAAAAAAAGAAACAAGGTTTTAAAAAACCCAACAAAGATTCATTGAGGATGGTCAACGAGAGACGCACAAAGGTCAAAAAAGCAAAGAGGGGCCACCTGACCTGATGTCTGACTGATGACTATATACCTTAAAAAATCTTTGTTGAAAGTCTAAATAACTTCAAACAAACATCAAGCAGAATAATTAGTTCACCCGTATTAAAATAGATATCTACAATGCAAGCAGTCTCCGTATCCTTACTTGTTAAACTCAGTCTGTACCATTACCTGTGTGTGACACATTGGTTCCCATGTCAATGAGGTGCTCTCTTTTTACTTTAACCACTTCTCCACAAGGAACAATTTCATGAGCAAATAAGGAACTCGTTACTCAGAAAGATCATTGTATTTTTATTATAACTCAAAACACTTACCAAAATTATCTTCTCCAATCAAAACTTCTTTAGAAGATGATGTCTGCACTGTTGGAGGCTTAACATCCTCTGTCTCACCTGATGTAATACAACAAGGATAGATACACTTAGTCCACTGTGTTGTAACATCAATAAATACATTTTCAGAGCTATTTGAGTACGAAGAATCAAATAAGGAGGAAAATGGAAAGTTAAAATTGCATTAAGAGGAAATAGAATCTGCCCCTGTTATGGAGAACAAAGTGCCAAACATCAAGACTCACAAAGTGCGTATTGTCTTTCATAAATCAGGATGATAGGAAACATGAGGATCAAATTTCTGAGTAACCTATACAATCATCCCCAAAGTCAGTCCTTTTGTGCTGACTTCATGTTTGGATGCTAGCAAAAGAAAAAGAAACACTCCATAGTTTTTGCATGGAGAAAATATTCCTCCGCAATAGCCAAAGTTTTCCCACAGAACAAAGTGAAGCACTTCTTTTTTTGTTAAGTTTTAGTAAGAGTTTTACGGCACTTGCAGCATAAATAGGTCATGTAACTTACTAAGAGTAACAAACAAAAAAAAAGAAAAAAGTAGGAGGAGAGATTTACAACAGGTGTTTGATAGGTAAGAAGGAGCAAACCACACCAGCACACCCTCCGACAAATCACTGCATACTTTAAAAGAAAGAACTAGTGGGTAAAAATCTGAAAAATTATAATCATTTGGTCCAGAGAGTCAAAGCATGTCATCATCATCCTTTAGAGAACAAAATTATTAAAGTCCTTGTCATTGAATCTGACCTTGCTTACTATAGCTTTCCTGAAACGCTCTCTTCTTCTCCTCAGCACGCTGAAGTCTCGCTCTTTTAGCAGCGCTCATGTCTTTGGAAGGACTGGGGAGAGAGGGGAGGACCACATCAACATAATAATAATAATAGATAGCATTTGTATAGCGCATATCCCCGCTCAACAGCAGGCTCTATGCGCTTTACACTATATTATTACCCCAGCACACCATAGAACACTCCGAAACATTCTCAGCTTCCCGGGAAGCATAACATAAGGTACAGGGTTGAAAAAACATTGTTCTTATCGATGGCAAAGGGTTTTTTTAAATGAAAAGGCGCACAAACTGAAGTGAGAGAAAAAGGGAGACCACCTTATGACAAGATAATACAATAAGTCAACTTTTAAAAATATTTTTTTGCTCAATACAATGAACAAAAAGGCGTTAAAATTCTACGGTGCTTGTGACAAATCTAATAAGAAGAATGTCCATTATCATATAAAATAATTGATTTTACTGGTAAACTAACAAACCAGTCTCACATCTGTTTAGTCTATTTAAACTCACAAAAACTTTAACCAAATAATACAAGAGGATGAGTAGATAACATAAGAAATTTTACGAAGTAGACTTACATACAAAATACTTCAGTATGATCAGTGTTAGAGTAATGATTTGATTTTATACCATTCTAAAAACATTTGTCATCAGCTCAGTTTCCCAATGCAGAGCCTAGATGAGACACTTCATAGTCACCACACTCATTCCCAGTTTGAAATCAAACAAACTTTAACATCACCTTAGGATACTTAGGAACCAGGGTAGGCTTCAATAGGGCACCGAATCATTTAGAAAATCTTTAAACAAATAAATAACATATCCTGTGATACCACTCATGAAGCTTTCGTGACTAACATGACAGTCTCAGTGACTAAACATACGCAGAAACAAAAACCAACTACGAGGTAGTTTGTTTCTTTTTTTAATCTATCGAAATACTTTCAGTAGCTTTATTCATTTGTGATCGCTGAATCAAACCACTACACATTTGTGAGGAGTGCTGACAAAATGAGTTACTTCTCACAATCCACAAATGAAGACATCGGCTGAAAATTAAAACTGGGGTCAAATTTGTAGATTTTTCAATTGATGCCGTTTTCTTCCAGTTTAATATACAAACTCCACCTATGAATTTAATGTATCATTTCCTTAGGGCTAAAATCAGAGAAGTAACTCATTCGTCAGCACACCTCATACATATCACTCTGGTGTGTAGTACAGTGGGTGTCGCATTCAACGAGGTCACATTCAACGAGAAGTCGGCTCCAACGAGGCAATCCTTCATCCTTGAATTTTTCCTCTAGAGCTCTTTGTAAATGTACATCAGCTCCAACGAGGTTGCAAACAGACCGAAGTCGCTTTCAATGATCTCGTGATAACCAAATAAAAGCAATTATCTACCCCAAAAGTGAAGAATTTTTCTCCTTTCTCTCCATCTCACGCGAAGCACAAGGCCCATCCTCGATTCCTAACACATTGTATTGATAGACCTAGTGTGCCTGCTAATAAATATGGGCCCCAAAGCCAAGAGGATGGGCGAGGGTTAGCCTACGGTAGGGATGGGAGGGGGTGGGTGGGAACACGAAGCGGGTTGTGTGAAACTGGATGAACTCTTGACGGGTAGATCTAGGACTAGTTCTAGATCGAGATCTTCATTTTTTTTCAACTTTCTTTTCTTCCCCTGATCAGGAAATCCAAGTTCCCACCTTTACTTTATGTAGGTCTAGGCCTAGATGAGAGAGGGTATGTTTCCACACGAGAAGTGTTCCGGAAAAAAAATAATTTTTAAGCAGAAATGACGGTTTGAACTCTGAACACAGCTCAAACACGCGCATACTGATGAAGTTTGAGATTTTCGTCATCAGGGGGAACAACTGTTTTAATTACTGGTACTGGTACATCGTGTAATATAATGACTTGTCTCCTTTCTTTTCTTTAGCCTTTGTCACGTTCAACGAGAGGTCGGATCCAACGAGGACAACAAGCAGGTCCCGGCAACCTCGTTGAATGCGACACCCACTGTACTTAAATATGACAACACAACCTCCAATTTACCTGATGTTGCCAACAGACGAACTCTGCCCAAACAAAGGGGAGGCAACACGAGAATGGCCAGTTTTCGGGGTACTGGTTTGGGCAGGGGACACAAGCGAGTTTCCTCTACTGTTTGTAACCACAGGACTGAGCTTGTCAGGGGGTTCTGGCTTAGTGAACTCTTCCGACACAGAGTTTTTCAGAGACAATGTTGAACCAGATCCACTTGGGGCGGTGGGTCCAGCATCCCCAGCTATTAAGTTGAGCTGACGTTCTAGAACAAGAGGGGAAAGGAGAGAACCTGTAGGAAAGAGCTCCCAAGCTCACATGCAGCAATGGGCTTTCTTCTCAAATTTGTTGGCCATTTTAAGAAAATTTATGCTACAGCAGGATCGATTTATTACAGCAACTTGATTAAAAAATAAACTTTTTCAAAAACCAATGCGCTCAATTTAAATCACATTTTTCGTACTAGTCAGGATGTTTTGTTTTAGTAGAGGTTTTGCAGCGCTCGCAACTGAATAAGGTCATATGAGCGCCATAAGAATAGAGGTGTTACAAGAGAGTAACAAACATAAAAAAGAAGAAGGGGAGATAAGGGTGATAGATGTTTTATTGGAAAGAAGGAGCAAACCACACCAGAGCACCTGTCAACCACCCACAGTCAGGATGTGGCTATATCAGATGTTGCTAACAATGTCCACTGTACTCAGGAGATATCGATAAAAAAAATTTGACGGATAAAAGGGAAACTGACACAGAAATTATATAAAATGAGAACAAAGGAGCACTCTGTTCAAGTTCATAATAATATACAGAATAATTAGATAAATACTTAACTAATTAACTAATGTCATTTCCTGAAAAGTTGATGCAGAGAGTAATCCAATTTTGACGTACGTATTAAATTCCATTAACAGTTCGAGTTTACTTACTGCTGCCAGTGTACGTTTTAAAGTTTTCCCAACAAAGTACATGTAAATTAAAAATATCCATTTAAATAATGCTAACTAAACATTGTAGAGCAGTTTGATAAAAAAAAAACAGAATATCCACTGACCAGAACAAACAATTCTTCGTCTTTGTATTCATCGTTGTCACATATGCTAACAACACAAAATACAACACTCTTTTTCATACACTGTCGAAGTGTTGCTGGACTTAATTCAGAAAGTTAATTCAAGCAATAAAGATTAAATAAACATGGACATCTATTAATAACAGCTTAAATTAATCGATACCTCCATATTTCAGGGGATACCTCTTTCCACAAGGCAGAAGTGTTACCAGAAAAGGTGAAAAAAGTGGATTTTTGTGAATCTGATTGGAACTTATACGAGAAAAGTCAAAACAGAAAAATGGTTTCATTTTAGCAATTCACTGGTCCACCATCTGCACGTAAACCACCAACATTTCTAGGCACTTCTGTTATTGTAGCAAAATGATCCAACTTAGGCCATGTAAAGACCATGTTATCTGAGAGCTGGAGGATGCAAAAAGTAAAACAAAACATCATAAGAGACAGTTACCTGTGCAAGCTGGGGGAGGTGCGGGAGTATTTGTCCTGCTGTTGCCATCATTCGTTGAAGAAGGGAGTGAAAAACGCTCAGTACCATTCGACTTCGTAGGGTAACGATTCCACATTCGCTTCTGGCGGGCTTTGGTCACGCTCGGGTCCTCCAGACAATGTTTCATGTCCTGCACATTGTAGGCGGCAGGAGGCTGCAGAAGAGTGATTTGATGGGAATAGGATTGGTTTGACTTTACTTTTGTTTAGTTTTTTTTGTATTGTTTTGTTTTGAGACACTTTCACACTATTTGTATTGCTATGTCAAGTTCACCACTATGACAAAACAGTTGGCTATTTGTTTAGTCGGAGAGTTGTGGACAATGAAAATAAGAGAAACAAAACTAAATAGTTGCGTTGTGTTGAGCAGGTAGACTTCTCTTACTTCAATTGTCCACAACTTCCTGACAAAGCTATAGGCCAACTGTTTTGTCGTATTGCGGTACTGAGCAAACAGATGAGACGCTGATGGCCCCATATAATAATATATGCATTTCCCCACCTCGCTAATCCTTTGTTGTCAAAGCTTGATACACGTACTCACTGAGAAAGAGAGAGAAAGTGAGAAAGAGAGAGAAAGCGAGAAAGAGAGAGAGAGAAAGCGAGAAAGAGAGAGAGAGAGAGAGAGAGAGAGAGAGAGAGAGAGAGAGAGAGAGAGAGAGAGAGAGAGAGAGAGAGAGAGAGAATTAGATAGGATAGGAGCAAACGATTTTTTTTTGTGCTATTAAATTTCAAAATAAAACAAATTGCTACTACACTTCTAACTGTTGTTCACCATACCATATAAAAAAATTAAATCAAGGTCAACTACACATATGTATATATAATTAAAAGTTTTCATTGTTAATATATATGCACTGCTTTTCTTCCATTATTCAAAGCCCTATTATTGACACCTCCCCCCCCCCCCCTCTCGCCTACTCTGAGCTCCAATGTGGCCTAGTTGGCTAAAAAGCTTTTTGATCCCTGTCATAGATGGATAATGGCCAAGTGAAGGAAAAGCACAATCTAGCAGGTTTGTAACTTATTTATTGCCGAAAAATTACTGTAAATATCCAGAATTTATCCCAGAAGATATGGAGGTAAAAACCGATTACTTGCAGCAGAATATGAGTAGGCTTACACTACAGCACTTTTTCTACAGATGGAGTTGACAATGTTGATGGGGTAAGTATGGAACTTTCAAATTATATGGATTTCTATAAAATATAAAAGATTGGAAGCACTCATTTTAGAGACTCTAAAGCAATTAAACATACCAGTTCAAGAGCAGGGGCTTTAACTGGATCAAGAACGAACAATAAATTTATTTATATTTTAAAATAATTCTATACTGCAAGTACTTACAGCTTTAGGAGCTCGGTTGACACATTTGAGGTAATCTTTGTCTCCGAGACAGTTACCCAAGGAGTTGCCAAAGCTTCTGTAAATGAAAGAATAATTGAGTTAAAACAATACAGAAAGAAAACAATCAGAAATTCCTTAGAAAGACAGAAAATACATGAAAACAACTCCAAACACATGCCTTACTTAATTACCTACTCTACTTCTAGAAAGGTTGGGAAAGCCTTTTTGGCTAAAGAGATCAAAGTCATCGAAGCCTCGGAAGAAAAGCAATCTGAAAGCTACATAAACAAATCACTGACCTGCAGTAATAGATTTCAGGTGCTCAGACACTTACACTCTATTTGTATCCCTCCCCATAAAAAAAAAGTTTTAAGACTTCTATAAGAACACTTAGAACAAGTATACCGAAAACTAGAAAAAGAATTCTGTGTGTTAAGAGTTTGAAATGAACAAACACTGATGTATTCAGCAACACGAATAGTGAGTGCAATATGGAAGTCACATGTATCCATGACGAGCCGATATGAATATCCCTTCTTTGCACACACTGAGCAATCATTTCCTCTTCATGACTTTATTGACTGATCAGTGTAAGACTCTGCAATACGTCACTTTACAAATGGTACCAAAATGTCCTTCACTCTGAATGCCAAAATGTCCTTCACTCTGGATGCAATGAAAAAAGAAGTTTCACCGAACAAGTAAATTCTTTTTTATATTCTGTGAGCACAAACACTAAAAACTAGGGTCCATCTTATACAAGGTTCTTGAATAGACTCCATGCAAATTGAAAAATGGGTGGTTATCTTTTGAGTATGTCTGAATCCTCTGTGAAATGGAAGTCACACAATTAAACATCTGATGTACATCGGACTTTCCAATAAACAACTTTACAACAGCTAATAAAGGATTTTTCATGTCCAAATGCAGATACGTGAAGAGAAATAGTGCAGAGAGGGGTAACAAACAGTACTATTACAGTTTTCTAACACCCCCCTCCCCTTCCGTTTTGTGTCTCCACTTCCCTTTTTAAATGTGAATTATACATAATTCTCTGTTTTAAAAGCAGTATTTTCTACTTTAGGATGGCAACATTGCACTTCGATATGATAAAATCTCCTTCTGATGGTCGAGTTGCGATGCCTATTTTTTTAAAGTGTAAAATGTTTTTTCCTCCAATATTCTTGAGACATTGTCTAGCATTTTATTCCCCTTTCAGAGGATGGGTTATTTTTGTTTAATCTTTTGAAGAGCAACATTTCCTTCTTCATACTTGTTAATTTCATATTTCATGTCTCGATCCCATTCAGCCAGCTGAGAGTCATCAGCATACCATTATTTATACCTTCTCTTTCACCCAGCTGAGGCCACATACCCATCAAGCAGTACATAAGTTAGATATGTTTTTTCCATAAACCAGAAATAACAAATCTCCCTGGACTTCCACAGTCATAATCATCATCCAGTGCCACCAGTGCCAGATCTGCGACAGAAATCGGCGATCATGGTTTTCCATTCATTCCTTTGCTCGGATGCTCTCAAAAAAGCTACGTTTCCCTGATCATTCCCTGTTACCCATTTGTTCAGGTTCCCTAAGTATGTTGTTCTGGGCCTACCCCTGCCTCACTTGCCCTCAATTTTGCCAGTGAGAGCTGGATGTTCAAGACCCTTATGTCTACTCAGGTGTCCCAAAAACTGCATTTGTCGTTTCTTGATTGTTTTTAGCATTGAACGTCTCATGTTGGCTTCATCAAGCACTACCTCATTCGATATCTTTTTTTTCCACAATACTCTTAGCAGTCTCCTAAGAAACCGCTTTCACAGTATCTGATTAATAATACAGCCGAACCAGTCCAAGACGTCCACCCATTATTCAAGAGAAAAATAATTATCTTAGACGGGTTGTCCTTTTGAACAGTGTCACTATAATGTAGAAAAAACACAAGAAGGGAAGTAGGAAGTGGTTGTTCGTACAGGTGATTGTCTTGGGCAGGCGGTCGTTGTGCAGGTTCAACTACACTTCTAAAAACTGAACACTAAGAAGCCTACTTGAGGGCTCGCTTCAGTCCGTCCGTCACAGCCTCCTTTTTCGCTTTTTCCAGTGACAGGGCTTTTGACCTCATTCCTTCACTGACACCATAGCCTACATCCTCATGGAACATACCATCCTGAGAAGAAAAACAAACTGGGGTTTTAGATTAAGATTGTGGTGACTGCTCTGTTTTAGTAAGTGTTTTATGGCACTCTCAACACAATTAGGTCATATAAGTGTCGAAGATTAGGGGTGTTACAATGTTACAAGAGAGTAACAAATACAAAACGAAACGAAAAAAGGAGGAGAGATAAGGACAACAGATGTTAAAAAGGAAGGACAGATGAAGCAAACCATATCAGTGGTGACAACAAAAATTCAAAAACACAGTGATGAGAAAGAGGAGCTCAGAACAGGACCCAGAGGTATTCACTTACAACAAGATTGCATAAGATAAATATCGCCTCTTCTACAAACTAAGGGATCTCAGGAAAATGCAAATCATCAGAAAAGAGATAGTAATACAACCAGCATACCTTTAACTGTACCTTGACCAGTGCACTGACCCCCACATAGTACTTGCCATTGATATGGTCCACAAAATCTAAACAGATGAGAAAACAAGCATCGCATTTTTCAGGCACAGGAAAAGTAAACAAAAGAAAATTTCAATTTGCGGAGGGGTCCTATGAGATCTTTTTTTATGGCTTTTGCCACAATACACAAGATATAGTAGAAATACAAGAACACAGAATTGGCAGAAAACATTCATTTGGATTTAACTTCATTACATAATCAAAATTTCTGTCACTCAGTTTATTTCTTCTGTTTTCTTAAAAATCTAAAGGTCACTACGCCATATTTTGCATCTCATGGAATATAGGTAATGAGAGAGGCATGACAGTTAATAATAAAGCAGTAAAAGTTAGGTTCATTCATCCTCTTTAAAGTTCAGGCTAAACATCATTGACAAAAAAGGTACCCAGCATGCAAATCAATCATTTAAAAGATTAACAATCAAAAGTAAAATCTAATATTTCCAACTGTTTGCTTTGCCAGAGGATAATGAACAAGTTAAAATGACTCCCCGTGACAGTTTCAACATTCTCAAATGGCTAGATATTTGGCTGCAGTTCTGGGAATGCAGGTTCAAATTCCCTACAAAGGTATCCCTTAGCTCCTATTTTGCGGAGTCCTTTGAGCCCTGGCCCCCCTGAGCCTGCAGGACCGGTGCAACTGAGAGTGCCTGTGCATGCTCTCTTGTAGATAGTTGGGCATAGATAACACAAACAAGTAAAACTCGAAATCATGGATAACTCATTCAATTTGCCATTCCACGATTGATAAGTCTTTAATATTTCACTATATTGGTTAACCAGATTTATGGATGTGTTGAACACATTTATCAATCCCCACGTGTTTGAGTTATATGAGCCCAACTGTACATATATATATATATATATATATATATATATATATATATATATATATATATATATATATTATATACACAAACACATGTCCATCATCCTGTTTGATTAACTTTTACACCCAATTCAAAACTTGTAAACAACTTGCACAGTACAGCACTGGACAAAAAGGTCAACTCAAGCTACTAAGCTGCCCTTTGGTCACATGGAATCTAATTATGACTGTCAAATTCAGGCCTCACAGTCTGAATTAAAACTTATCCATTCATAGAGACAACACCATGGTTTGTCAATGTAGGAGTTGGGCAAACCACACTGGTAACTTACCTGTTGTCTGCTGCGTCACAGAATGAGACCATCCATTGAAACCAAAAGTTTCGTTAGCCAGGTTGATCAACTTCCAACCCTCAATATAGGCCAACTGGAAGAGAAAAACAGGTCAGAGGCACTTTGGTTACAACAGTTCTTGAGGATTACATTCCATACATACAGGTTAGTGAGGACACCCGTAAGTTAGGTCATCAAGACTGTACTTAGCCAGAGAGAGCTCATTTCAATTGCTCAGTGTAAAACTCCATCATGAGTCACTTTTCAAAATGGTGTAAGGCGGAGTCTTACACAGTCAATTTGTTCCCGTCTTTCAGTTACAGCATTTGCGAAACAAGTGAAATTTCTTTAAGTAAAAAACAAAACAATTACAAAAGTATCAATGACCATAATCAAATTTACATAAACATTGGCAACATGAAGGAGGCACAATGCAAGTGAAATGATGAATATAGTGGAAAACCAATGAAAAGTGCATATATTACTTTTTATTATTGCTATGTGCACAAATGTGAATAGAAGAGAGGATGTGTGAGGGATGAGTGTTTGTGTCGGGTGTGCACATGTGCGCGCATATGCATGGGTGTTCATGTTTGTGTGTGTCTGTGAGTGTGTGTGTGTGTGTGCGTGTGTGTATGTGCGTATGTGTGTACATGGTGAAACATCAAACCAGTGTGTCAGGATCTGGACAATAAAGATGTATCTTATCTTATCTTATGTTATCTTATCGTACCTTATCTTATCTTATTCTCAGAGTCCAGACAGAATGGATTTATTTGTTCAAGATAAAGAGAAACATCTTAGAGTATTAATCACATGGTCATTTATGCTGAGAAAACATACCAGAAAAAAACCCAGAGGGACAGGAGAGAAATAGACCTCAGAAGGACATTTGGATTATTCACAAGCATGCAAAAGTTGCAGGAAACCTACAGCATCATTTAAATATTTAATTCAAGTTAGAACAGCAAAACAAAACAACCTTTAAATGTGTGAGACTAACCTTAAGTCCTGCTGCTCCAGTTCGTTGGCTAATGAATTGTGGCCCAAGTCTTTGCTTCAGAGCATTCTGAATAGCAGACTCTTCCTCAGGACTAAACTCAGTCTGAAAAATAAATTAGCATATCTAATATATATATAAAATGCATAAAGGAGGAAATAGGAGAAAAGATCTTCAGTGGAAACCACACAAAAACATAAGCTCAATAAAATTTAAAAAAGAGATCCACGGTAGAAACCAACTGAGCCTACATTGCCACTTCTTCCTAAAGTAGGTAAACTATTTTCTAACATTTGAGAACAAAGATTGAAAAAATGTACTTTGAAAACCCAACATTCTTTTCACAATTTTTCCAACATTCAAGTGCAACTTTTTTAAAGTGTAGGATGAACTTCAGGCAATCTAAGAACACTCCATGAATGTAAAAATTCTGTCTGCCTAAGAACCCACTTTGATTGTGTAACAAAATTTTATCTTTTTAATTTGCATGCCTCAGAACCAGCTCTAAAAATACAAATCCACATAAAAACTCATTTTGAGCCCTGGGCAAAACCTTTTCTATACTGTTTACCATACTTCGCACAAGTCAGGGAGAAGGGAGCTGCACTGGCGTGGACAAAGAGATGACAAAATCTACACATTACAAACACATTTACGGAGAACGTTCTTTTAGGTGTGCATTTGACTGTTTTGTGTTAGACTCCGCAAAACATCATTTTGTAAAGTGACGTATGACGGACTCTTATACTGAGCAGTCATTATATGAGCTCTGCCAAACTAGTCCCGCGAGGTAATTATCAATTGGTAGGCCTACAATCACTTTTTCCTCTAAAAGAGGTCTTGGCATCTGATTGTTTTATAAAAACTGGATTGTTCACCGTCTTCCTTCGCACTTTCCTTACAAAGCACTGAGATGATTGCTGTTTCATTGTTTCAATATCCCATAAAATGGTAGTGGTAGTGACAATGTCACATCTTAAAAATTCATTTTGAAACCTCTGGTTCTCTCTTGCAGCAAAAACACACACTTCTTTGACATTACATGCAATAAACATTCGTATGTCTGACTTTTTTAAAAATTAAAGCATAACCCCTTTAACTACCCTCTTCATATAATATATATTACATATATATATATAGATATAGATATAGGTATATATATATAGAGAGAGATAGATATAATATATGAAGAAGGTTAAAAAAAAATAAAAGTCACACACTGCAATAACCTAACAATTTAAAAGACAGCTTTCATCTCCACTCCCCCCCTCCCCCTTCCCCCCACCCTTTCCTCCTCTTTAACCTACTACTCCTAGCTTTCCTTCTTACACGCTGTCTTTCAGCAATATCCCTGATCTTAGGGTAGGTAAGATCAAACACCTAACCTTCTCTGATAAGGACAAAAAAATCTCAGAAGTTGCGCACGTTAAAGAACCCTCAGAGGCCCTAAAATTGATAAGAGTAGGCTTCGACCCCCACCTGGGCTAAATTGAAAATTAATTCCTAATAAAACTGAAAATGCTTAATGTGAAAACAACCAGCTTTACTTTGTCTCCTGCGTGCTCATAAGCTGTTATGCAGTTGTGAGATCCGTAAAACTCTAACCAAAGTAAGACTGCATGACACACGCAGGAGCAGGTCGTGGTTTGTAGAACTGAACTGACCGGCTGCAATTCACATCGAAACCTCCCCCCATCCCCTACACTCTCACAAGAAGCGTGCGCGCGCACACACACACACACACGAAGTGACTGGGACCACCGTCTTGTCCAGTTAATGCACCGTCCCTGAATTTATGAATAGCAATACATGTACACACCTACAGGACATCAGAATATTACCAAAATAGACTCAATATATAGTCATAAACAAACCTGTCCAAATTTGACTGCTGAACAACTTTCATGTTTGTTGGTGAATAGATTCATTCTCTACACAACAACAGCTGTACTGAACTTGGTTCACTGAGACAGATGAGTCGAGCGTCTTATCTTTCTCTGTGAGTCATCAAGTCTGAGTCTGAGAGAGCTGCAAAAACCTAAAAATGATTCAACACAATACAGTATTATAAAATAATAATACTTTGCTTTTTTAACTTTCAAAATAGAAGTACAGAGTGGTGTCTGCCTCTTAGATATAAAAGCAACCCCTTTGCATTTGCACCTTTGAAAAGCAGACCTTGTTGGTTGCTGTAGGCTACTTTTGGCTAGTCAAAGGCAGACATTGAAGCGAGCCGTCATTTCAGAATTTTCAGCGGGGGGTAAACTTTAAAAAATGAGAGGTTACTGTCACTAGTCCTAGATCAACTAGAATTGACAACACTTGGCAATCAATAGTCAATAGGTCTAGTAAGCTTGGCTGTGACAGTTAGTAGTGATCTAGACTAGAATCTTGTACAGTCGAACCTGCCATGACGGCCACCTGTACAAACAGCCAATTGCCATTTTTCCCCCCTTGTGCTTTTTTATATAATTAAATTTTGTAAAGCGGTTACCTGCCCAACGCAGCCACGGCCACCTTATTTTATCATCCCATGGTCAAATTTACCTATCTCAGGCGGCCAGACGTGGTCACTCATTGCCCAACGCTTTGTCATAAATTTTGAATCGGCCCCTCACGCTGTGGACGGGCAGTCATAATTTATTATCGTCGTTATTGTTAGTTCCTCCAATGAATGTTTACCCAAGTTGACCAATGGCCTAACAATCAATAAATTTTCAATTGCTAGTGAGGGAAGAGTTTATAATCCGTCATAACCTATAAGTCAAAGCCCTGCCCACAACTCATCATGCGCAAATCGTGTGTGAGGTGACTCGTCACTGTTTTGTATACCAAATCTGTAACAACAAAGTAACAATGGACGTTGACGAGAACTTGCTACACAAGCATCGCTCATTTTTCCAGTGATGGTGACCTGTGTGTTTGTTTTACAATGTCCCATGTCCATAGCACTCGGTCTTTATCGTTTTACTTAGCCTACATACTACATACATATTTCATTTATGATTTAGTGTACCCTTGCACAAAATCAGCAACAAGAAAAAAATCAGCAACAAAAAGAAAGCTAACTGAAAAACAAATCAACAAAAAAACAACACAAAAAGACCCTTCTTACACCACCCACCACCCTTTTTCAAAAGGAAAAAAAAACTTTTGAATTCGCCTTATTACGAATTACGGCAGTCTAAAAGTAAAGCCTGGGATCAGCCCCAGTTTGGATCTCAGAGGAGAATGATGTTTCCTTCATTTTTATCACTCCTGCCTAAGACGGCCACCGGCCACCTGCGTTATACAGCCACTTTTCTCCTTGACAATGTGTGGCCGTTTTACACAGGTATGACTGTACTTCTCTAGATCTAGTAAAAGGGCTATCGGTAAATTTTTACTTTCACTCCCGCACACAGATGCACTGTTTCAGGGGTCAAACTGCTGTACTGTTTGCTGCAGATCACACATAAAGCCACTAAAACTGTCGCAAATCAATTATTTTCAAGACAATTTCAAATCTAACTGTAAAATATAAAATTATGGGTAAAAACCTGTAACCCCCCCGAATTTTCTTTTGCCCCAGTGGGGCAGGCCCCCCCTGGAACCCCCCGATTGGTCCAAAGCATGTCTATCTCGGTTAAAAACAATCAAATATTTCAAAAAGGAGGGTATACAGACCCGGTAACCGGGAACAAAGTCACAAAGTATACAGACCCGGTAGGGGAACTCTTTTGTGATTTCGGAAAGTTTCAGCGCCCTCTTGGCTCAGGGTAGACCTAGGTTCTTCTATATATCTATGGCCTAGGCTAGATCTAGATCTAGACAGACAGATATAAATCATTGTGGTCTAGTTTCGAGGCTAGCCTAGATCTAGATCTAAATGAAAATTGCGGATATCTTTCTGATGAACGATCGTTTTTCCTCCGTTTTGGAGTTGGAGGAATCACAATTTGAAGAAAAGAACAATGTCATAATTTCTCTCGAGCATTCATCCTC